TCGTTTATGAGTGCTTTTTTCCAAGCTCGTGGGACAAGCTCAAACTTGGATGCAAAACGGTCATGTCTATCACCCTAGATTAGTTACAGATCTACAAAAAAGAATTGTTGCATCAAATGGAATGTATGTAACAAGCTTCTCTAGAACCCATGAATTATTTCGTGTCACATAGATCCCGTAACCACTTCAAGGTATTCAAGCTAACTCGTTCAGAGTTAATCTACGAGACAAATGGTGCGTTTGTGAGTTTTTTCAAGCTTTGAAGTATCCATGCTCTCATGTCATAGCAGCTTGCTCGCATATCCATCAAGACTATAACCGTTTTGTGGATCACGTATTCCAACTTTCAAAAGTGTTTAAGGTATATGAATTTAAGTTCCCCCCATAGGTAATGAGAAAAACCCTAATGAGGTTCAAAATTGGCTTCCGATTGTATCAGATTTGTCCTTATTGAAGGAGCCTAGTCGTCCAAAATCCACTCGAATTCATTGTGATATGGATATTCGGAAACATCTAGAGAAAACAAAAGATGTGGGCATTGTAAAAACATACTAGGAAAAATGTCCATCTATTTTTCATAAAGTAATCATTGATGTAGTTGTTGTTTATGAAATCTAAATTTATATAATTTAATTTTCATTTACTTTCAGTTAATGTCATTTGAGCATCACCGATTAATTAAACAAGAAAACGATAAAAAAAACAAAAAAAACACTAATTAATCAAAATATTCAAACAATTAAGTACTAAAAAATTAACAAACAAAATAAATTAAGTAATAAAATTACAATTATTGGTAAATAAAAAAAATTAAATACAAAAATAATGAAGTGTATGGCTTTATCGATGCCTGCATCTTAATGTGTTCTGCAGGGTGGTGGTTGTCTGTCTCGAGAAGGATTTCTTCGTATAACTTATTATGTCCTCCACTCATCATCATCACCATCATCATCATCATCACCATCACCATCACCATCACCATCACCATCACCATCATCATCATCAGGAGCAAATACATTTTATTGACGATGGACGAATGACGATGTAGCACCTCCACATAATAATGACCCTAGAGGTGTATGACTGATTATCTCACCGCTCATAGAAAACTGTGAAAACTGTGAAAAGATCGACATCAATGAGTGCAAGAACTGTACATGAGGTGTCTATGCATGTAGTGAAGCTTCACCTGCCAAATAACCAACATATGGACCCCACGTTGGATCTACAAACATGGAACTATAATATCCACCATAAGGGGTCATATAACTCTGCGGTGGCGACATCATTTGGTATGGAAGCGGTGGCGTCTAACCTGGATGTAGTGGCATATTAAATGGTTGCGGTGTCATCTGATATGGCTGCGGTACCATCTGAAACGGCTGTGAAATATACAGCGGTGTAGACAATGACTGCTATGAAGATTCCGGTACTACAGCTAAGGATAAGCCAGAAGCGTCTGCTCTCCGTCCACGAGTTGAGGGAAATGATGTTGTGACGGTGGACATCTTTGTTAACGTCGATGAATGTTCCCACCTCATGCTTCCTCAGAAAGTAAGAATGATTTCCCGTTCCTGTTGAACCACTCATAATAACCATTCATAATCGAGTAATGATCCACATAAATAGGTTATGTACGGGGAATGCGCCCATATCGATGCTCCCATATCATTACCCACTCATAGTGATTGAGCAGTCTCGACTTTTTTTTCCCCGTTTATCTATGATATACAAATCGTCAGATTCTTAGGTGCTTTCAGAATAGATTATACAAAACCAAATTGGCGGAGCACACGATCAGTGGGATGCCACTCGACATATCATAACATATCAGAGGGACCACCACCATCCAGACATCTAATGGGTCTCTTAAGTGATGTGAGATGTAAATCCTCATCTCTTCAGTACAATAAGGAGTCCATTCAAACTAAAACAATATATATAATTCTTATCAAAATAATAATCTAATTATATAAAGATAATTAAAAGTACATTTTGTTATTTAAATACAAACCTCTATGACAGTCTTTTGATCAATTAGTAGTTTAATTTATTCCAATTCATCAGGTAAATCCCGATGATATTTTCTTGCACTTGACCACCTGTTCAATGAAATAATTTTTATTATACTAAATAAAATTATTAATATACGAAATCAGTATTGTAATTATCTAATATAGCGGGAAGACTAACGGGTTTTTCACCACCGGACATAAAAATGGCATGCGATGCCACGCCCAATACTGGAGCAGAAGGAGACAGTCGTCGATAGCGTTTTTTTCTATAGTCAGTAGCTTGATATATTTCCCTATACAAATGTCAAAACTGCGGACCCCAACTCAGTGTGACAGCATGATGAAAATCAGCTAGGTGACGTAACCACATACAATGAACTTGGTTGCGTGATTTGTCCGACATCAAGAGCCCTCCTATGAGCTGTAGTATGCAAGCATGTGCATATATTTTAACATGCTCCTCAGAGGCGTCGCCACTCAAATGCTTGAAAGTTGCATCCAACCAATTTAATGGAATTCGACAACCGTTGAAATTAGGCGGGACACCTCCAAGATACTCCTCGCACAATGAATGTCAGTCACCATACGCCACCCCATAAATCACATCTCAATCTACCGAAAGCCCTAAATGCATGGAAACATCCTCCAGCGTAATTGTGCACTCTCCACATGGAAGACGAAATGTGTGTGTCTTTGGTCTCCAACGCTAAACCAATGCAGAAATAAGATTGGATTCTAGGTTACAGTGCCCTTCATTTTGCTACGTAACTGAATCCAGCCTCGAATAAATACGACCATACACGGGTAGGTATCTCTAACTTAAGATTACAATTGAAGGGATCTAATATATGGTTATCTCCTAATTTAATAAATATTATAAATTAAAATATAAACTAATACTAAATAAATAAAATATTAATAATAATTAAAATTAAAATAGAATTTAAAATTGTTACCGTATCAACAAAATGCCTCGAAATATGATGTACATCTAAACGTAGCAAACCACCTTCCATTTTATAACTGCAAAAATTAATAAAAAGTTAATATAAAAATTTAATAAAATAATAATTTATTAATTTATTATACAATAAAATATTTTACCTTCTTAATAGAATTTGAGCTTTGCGAAAATTTGAGTTGGTTTGAGCTTGAGAGGGTTTGGATGTTGAGTTTGGTGTGTGTTTGAATGAATAAGGGAGGGGTATAGCCGGATGAGGTATTAATGTGGGAGGTGTGAACGGTTGGGGTATTAATGGAAGGTGCTTGTCAGAAACCTCAGAAAGGTGCGGATGGCGATCCGTGCCTGTCCTTACGTGACGCCAGCTCGGATAAGGCGCGGATGACCATTCGCGCCTTTAATGATGTGGTGCCAGCTCGGACGAAACCCCTCAAAGGCGCGGAAGACGATCCGTGCCTTGTAAGAAAAAGTGCTAGATCGGTAAAAATTGGAGAAAATATGTTTGACAGATAATTATTACTTGTCATGATGATATTTCAGTAAAAAACCGAATAATCAAGGTTATCAAGTCTTAAAAAATTTAATTTTTATAAAATTAAACAACTGTTTGCACTCTTGTTGTTGTTATAAAAATAATATATTGCATATTGATTCTTGAGTCTATCTAAAACAACATGTGGCCAGGATTGATTCGCAACTTCAAAGTTACGGTGATTCTGTGAAGGTGATCGGTGGTGAAAGTGACTGCCGATAAAATTAAGACAGACAGAGAGAAAAAGGTTTTCATGAAATAATTGTCAAAGTTTGGACTAACTAGTAACATTATAGAAATAAAGAATAAATTATGAGAAATGAAATTTTAAAATATAAAAATTAATTTCCAAATTAATAAATGGACCAAACTCGTATTTTGTAGATACAAGCGACCTAACATGCTCGATCAAGTTTTTTTTCGAAGTTAGTCGTCATGATTATTGTTGTTCTTGTCATCTTTTTTATTAACCGTTGTCATCTTTGTCACAAGTCAATTAATGATCTCTCTTTTTGCGTAAGGTGAAATTTAAAATCAAAGCTTGATTTCTCTATGATTGGTGGATAAATCGACAATCTATGATGATTTTTCGTCAGGGAGTAGTGGTTTGGTCAAATGGCTTTCGTTGATAGCAACAGTGGTCAGCGTGAGTAAAGAGATTTAAAATGAGAGTTTTTAAAGTTTTAATTTTTTTTAAATTTGAGAAAATTTAAATTTTTTTAAGTATTTTTTTAAATGTGACACATGATAGATTTTTTTAAAGATTGTGATATACCAAACACTTAAAATATTAATGTTAATAACATTGATAACGTTACGTACCTATATTGACCTTAGAATATTTAATAAATTTTTTATATTAAACTATAAAATAATAATTAAAAAAATAGTTTTGTACATCATTTTTCATAATAAAAACAAATAATTTTATTAATATTATACATAATTTTCATTATTTTTAAGACTTCTTTGTTATGTAAATATCGAAATTCTTTTTTATTGTAAATAATTTTTTAAATGAGATTTAGAATTCTTTTATTTTCTTAATATTGTCCATAAGTTCTATTATTCTTAAGAATTCTTTTATTGTGCAAATATTGAACTTCTTTTATTTAATTTTTTAATATTGTACATATTTTTTATTATTCTTAAGAGTTTTTTATTGTGTAAATATAGAAATTCTTTTATTTTTAAAATATTTTACAAAAATTTTAATGAGATTTAATTTTTTATCATTTTACTTGATTTTATAAAATAAATTATATTTTTAATTTTTTAAAAATAATACTATTTTAAGTTAATTTAAATATTATTTACAAATTTTAAAATTTAAAAAGAGATTATTAACACAATTAATTTCGTATATGTATAAATAACCATTATTTGATTTAATTTAATTTGACCTTATTTAACCTCTTTATTAATTCGGCTTCGGCTGTGTGAGCAAACCTTAAAAGCTTAGCTACAATTTGAACGTTAACAAAAAATAAACATGGAGGAATCGGCTGAGAAGAACGAGGCGGAAGTGCTGATGGCCAACGGCACCGATCAGCGGGAACGGAGCAGAGTCCGCCGGAGGTTGGTCCAGTCAACTTTGTTTCCTCACAAATCTCCAGAAATTGAACCGAAGATCGAGGAGATGGCTAATGCAGGTTCAGAAATTGAACCAAAGATTGACGAGAAAGCTAATGAAGGTGAGGATGATAATAATGACCTTGAAGATGAAGAGCTCTACGGTAGTCAAAGCAAGAAGAGGGGAAGAAAACGGAAAGGGAAAGGGAAAGTAACTCCTCAGAATCGAGCTTCTAAAAAGGTTTAGTTGAATTAATTTTTGTTTTATGAATCGTTTAAACAGAAAGGTAGAGATTTTTTATAGTTATTGCTTTAAACTTTTTGTCTGATCTTCAACGAGTAGGCAAATGATAAATCGCCCATGAAAACTACACCAAAGAAGAATGGGACGAATAATGTGATGAGGAGTGACGATGCATCACCGCCTCCAATCCCTAATTTGAGACTGGAGGCAAAGTTGACTGCTGAGGTTGGTGTTATACTATTTTCTTCCTTATTTCAACATCACCTCATGCTTTTGGAAGTATTAATATGGTTTTTGATTACTATTGTACTTTGGATAGCTGACATTAGCAATTAACTGGCTTTTTGTTTATTTTTTGCTCGTGGTTGGTGTTGATTAAGAATTTTATTTTGGTTGTTGAAGTAAATATAATGCTCTAATGCTGAAAGATTTCAATGTAACTACGGAATACAACAATAGTTCCAAGAAATTATAACAATAGAGAAAATTGAAAAGCTTTGTGGTGAAATTTTAGCTTTATGCCTTGGGTTCTTTTAGAAACATAGGGATGACCAAATCAGATAATAAAGGTAAACTTAGAATTAAGGAGATCGAAAATAATGTTGAGACTGTGAACATAGTGACTGCTGTTTGGTGATTCTAATTTTCTGAAAGAAAGGTGCAAGGGTTTAATAGGTAATATAGGTTGTGTGCTGTTTGCTGGACGTCATTGATGATGTACCATAGCTTAAGTTGGACTTCCTGGAGCTTTGTGTCATTGAGCAGGATGTTCCTACTTTTGACAGAAGGCAAAATGATAAGGTACCTTCACTCTTAAAGCCTATTGAGAAGCTTATTTTTGTCCAAGTTTCATGGATCCTTTTAATGTGGAGCGTCTTTGTAATACCCAAATTTTGATCAGTGACTAAAATGTAAGTTTTGAAAGTTTAGTGGCTAAAGTATAAACTTTGAAAAGTTTAAGAGCCGAAATTGTAAGTTTTAAAAGTTATATATTTTAGCCTGTAAATGAACAGTTTGAACTAAAACAGAGATTTTAGTGGGAATCAGATTTTTGGTAAGAGAATTGTGATAAAAGCTATAAAGCAGTAAAGTTCGGTATTAAAATCAGATAATTGGATCGAACCAGAATTTTACGAAAATTTGAAGGATGTTATAAAATGATTGGAAAATATTTTATTTAGAAAAGTGAAATTTAACATGAATCAATAGAATTAAAGTTGATTTTCCATGTTAAGCCAAAATTTTGGAATTATGGGACTAAATTGAAATTTTAAAAAATTTCAAGGATAAAGTATAAAATCATAATTAAGATATTTCCTTTATGGATTTGATGATGTCATGGAGTGGCATGGATGAAATTATTAAGTTTTATTAAGGGAAAAATGGTAAAGTGGATTAAATGAATAATTAAAATTTATTTATATCAGATAATGACATGTGTATTAAGGGATAATGTTTAGTAAAGTGAAGAAAATTTCAGTTTCTTCATCTCCTTGCTGCCATGAGACTCCATTAATAATGTGAGAACCTTTGTTTTTAATTTTTTGTCAATTTTTACTAGAATTTTAAGTTAGGTTATTAAGGATAAAATAACCTGCATGAAATTCTCTTTCATTTGGCATAAAAATCTTCATGTTTCATGCTCAAGTTGGTAAGATGTTGATCAAGGAGAAGTGTGATTTTTTATGATTAAAGGTTGATTTTTGATATTAGAAGTGTTGTAAGAATTGATGAAGAACCTAAGGATGCAAATTAATGAAAACAATTTAGATTTTTGAATCTGGCAGTGAGTTTAAAATTCACCAGAAATTCTATAAAATGATTTGGAGGTTATTTTTATATATTTGTGTTCGTATATCAATCTAGTTTTGTTTAAAATAAACGAGGATCAATTTCAAGGTATATAAAAAAAATATGAATTTTTAACCGAGGAAATGTCATAAAAACGGGTGCAACAGATTCTGCACAAAACAAATTTTGTTAGTCAACTTTGAAAACTTACCATAAATTGTACATAATGAACTAGAAGAAGTTCTTTATATGGATAGATTCTTATTCAATTCTAGTTTTCATTGGAAGAAACAAAATTCAATTCCAGTGTGTATATCAATATATAATATTGCTTCTTTAAAGGTTGTACGAGTTGTCTGAATATGGAAATTTTAGAATTTAAGTGGAAATGGATTAGAAGATGAAGAGTAATGTTTAAATGTTGAGTATATTTTTGGATGCTTGGAATTGAAGTTAAATGGCAAGAGACCATTTTGAATAAATTGGAAATGTTGAGAAGAATTCTAAAAGAATTCATTTTAATGGTTAGATGGTGGAATTCGAAAGGTTCCAAAACTTTAGGGGCTTGTTTGCGAGTTCTTAAATAAAGAAGTATTATTTGAATAAATTGTTGAATGCTGGAAAATTTGTTAGTATGCTGAATTTTGAATTAAATTTTAAGTTGAGGTTGAATTATAAATTTATTGAGTTTGGTGGTTGAAAATCGAAAGTTAGGAAAGTTTGAGTTGAAATTATAAATGTTTGAAATGTTGAGGTATTGATTTGAGCATTTTATTAAAGTGCTGGAATTTTTATATTTAATGTGCAATGATTTTAATGGTGAATGACCATTATGAACTAAATGGAAAGGTTGAGGTGAATTCTAAAAAGAATCCACAACTTATAGCTTATATTAGTACGATACTAATATGTAGTTCGAACACTTTGTGTTATTATTTGGTATTGCCATATCACGACAAATCTAGAAATCAGGATGATTTGAAAGGAAAAGGAAAAGTACGTGATTAGAAATAGCACTTAAAGGAATCTATAGTGAGGCAAAGATGAGTGTAATTATTTATTTAATTATTTTGATCAAGGTCAACTTACGATAAGTCAACCTCATTTCAATTTACAGTGATTTATAAAGTTTATAAGAATATTTTTATAATATTCTATATCAGTTTTATGAATTATTTAGGGTATGAACTACCTAAGCATGATATTTTTATGATGGATTTATTATGACATATTAGCCCATTGTGTGTTATAGTAAGAATTGTTGGTACAATTGGCATGCTATTAATTGAGTAGTTATCCATTATCAGCTTTGATACATTCGTGTATCAATGTTATCATATCAGCTTTGGTATATTCGTGTATCAATGTTATCATATCAGCTTTGATACATTCGTGTATCAATGTTATCATATCAGCTTTGGTATATTTGTGTATCAATGTCCAGCACTGTTGGTGCTTATTCAGGTTATGATGGTACTGAAGTGCATCATATCTCAATATCAGTTACGTTTTGCACTGTGTTGTGCATAGTACGCACCTTACTCACGTATCTTATGTTCTCATAAATATGCATTGGGCTATGAAAATGAATATACAAGTTGTGAATGATTTCCAATTGACTGAAAGCATGATATGCTTATTTTATCAGATATGATTTATCAGAATTTTTATGAGTTCATGATTTAAAAAGAAATTTCAGGTCTCAGTGAAGAAATCGATTTGGAAAAGTTGGTTTGTCAGTTTAACGTTTTAACTCGAATTATTTTATTTATGTTTATGATATTTCAGATTTTCTCACATTAGATTATTACTATCTCAGTAAGTTATACTTAGCGCGTGATGATTTTCATGCGTAAGGTCTGATTGAGATACAAACGTTTTATGAGGAGCATTCCAAGCATCATGTGCAAATCATCTATAATACCAGTATCAGTAAGACATCATTGAAGTTTCTTTTGATTAGTAGTGATATGTATAATTATGTTAGTAGTTTCTATTTATCGTATTTATTTTAAATAATTTGTAATAGTAAACTAGAACTATTTTAAATTACTGATTAACAAATGAATTTATTTTCCCGTAACAAAGAAATAAATTATAGGTTGAGATATACTTTAAAATAGATTTTTAAATTTAAAATATGAGTGTTTTCAAGTGAAACAATTTTTTAGGCAATTTCAGTTCAGTAAATGTTTTAAGTTGATGTGATATCTTTGACTTGTATATCAAGATGTATACGGGTTAAGGGTGTTACATTTATTGGTATCAGAGCTGTCGGTTTAGTTTATTTTAGCCTAAACTGAGCCTATTTTATATCAGAAATATGTACATGCCACTAAGATGTCGAAATAACTAATATGGTATGGTCTGATGATTTTATTTATGATACTACTCCTTACTAACATAAATTTGTGATTGTATTTATATGTCGGGTTCGGAAGGCATAAGACAATCCACCGAACAGGAGGTAATAGTAACAAGGTAGAGTATGTTCCTCAACGATAGGGAGCAAAGACACATCAAGGAGTGTCGGCTCCAGATTAGGGAACATTTTACAAGCTCTATGGGCTATCATGGCTTGATATCAACTAGCTGCAGCACATCCCATTCCTACGCCTCCATCTTCTCTTTCATTTCCGAGAATATTGGTTCTGAAAAAACCAAAAAGTTTAGGAGCTGCAGAATTTAAAGGCGAAGCAAACGAAGGCCCAATAGTGGTAGATATGTGGCTGAAAGATGTGGAAATAATGTTGGACAATCTTCACTATTCTGATAATGAAAGATTGGATGGAATAATTTCATTGTTACAAGGCCAAGCTCGTATATGGTGGACGAACATGATGACACATGTTCATCTAGATCAGATCACTTTGTGGTTTTTCCTAGAAGTATTTAGAAGAAATATATCAGTAAGTTGTTTATTATCCAGATGAAGCAGGATTTCTTTAATTTAATTCAGGGTGGTAAATTTGTATACGAGTATAAATGTGAGTTTAATAAACTTGCTCGATATACCTCGGGTATGGTTCTCACTGAATGAGACATATGTCAGAAATTTAATTGAGGCCTCCACCCTAGACTCAGGGGACTGTTGTTGACTACAAATTTGACCACTTTTCAGGAAGTAGTGAATAAAGCAAAAGATTTGAAAATGACGCAAAATGAGAGTTATATTATAGAGAGTAGATGACAAACTAAAAGATCAGGATCGTCATCCTCATTTTAGTTTAAAAAAGGTTGAGGTTTCAGTTATAGGTACCAAAATAAATCTGAAAGTGGTATTTCTATCTTTATGATGAGTCTGTATTTGTTTTGATTGATCCAGGTTCTACGCATTCCTATGTTAGTTCGGAATAAATTAAAAATAAGAATATTCTTGTAGAACCCATCAATAGTGATATGATAGCTATAAATCCACTGGGTCATAGTTCTAG